AACCCTTAACCCTACACCCTAAACCAGAGGGCTATTATATGGCCTAAACCCTTAACCCTAAACCTTAAACCCGACGGATATTATATGGCCTAAGCCCTTTACCCTTAACCCTACAGTTTTGACTGGGCCTCTCTGGACCTCTCGAGGATGCAACTCGTGATCATCCCTTGGGACCCTCGGCATTAGGGTTTAGGGTTTTGGGGTTCGGGGTTTAAGGTTTAGGGTTTAGGGTCTAGGGTTGACCTAAAGGGTCCTAAGTACTTACTTGGGGGGATACTTACTCACACTGTGATAGTAATTCACATCGTAGAAACCCTGCATTCTACCACATGGATGCGTAGGACCCTGTGGGGGTAAGAAGGTGTAAGAGAGCCGGTAGTTTTTTTTTTTTCAGGTGGCCGGAGGTTTATTGATTAAAGATTACTCAAAGATGGTTTCGCAGTTGATTCAGCACTTGGGTTTCAGGAGGTGTGTGGGCTCCCAGGCTTCAGGGTTGAATGAATTAAAGAGCTTTCACATTCAGAATGACCCCTATCAGCCCCCAAAAGACAGCAATCGATGCTTCAACCTAAGCCCAAAGCCTAAACCCTAATACTCTGAAGCCCTAACCCCAAACCCCCCCTATAAAGGACCCCTTGAAGCAAAGGCCCGGAAGCTCCCAGGTTTGCCTCTGGATGTTCTCCAGCTCAGTCTTGGGCATGGCGCGGTTTGCACGCTTCCAGCTCCTTTGGCTGTTTCGGGTTTTAGGGCTTTAGGGTTTAGGGGCTTTAGGGTTTTAGGGTTTATAAGGGTTTAGGGTTTTAGGGTTTAGGGTTTTAGGGCTAAGAGTTTAGGGTTCAGGATGTCCATTACAGTAATAAAGGTTTAGGGTTTATTGGGTTTTTTGGGGTTTGAGTTTAGGGTTAGTTCTGTAGGGCATTCAGAGGATGCAAAGAGGTTTTACAAGGTGTAGGGCTTGAGGTTCATGGTGGAGGAGACTGGCAGGATCCCTAAAGGTCCAAAGGACCCAATAATTATGTACTCGGTTTTAGGGTTTAGGGTTTAGGGTTAAGGATAGTAGTTATGTAGGTTAGGATTCTGGAGAGTGTATGATTATTAGGTACTTGGCCCCTTGGGGAATGTTCGGAGGGTTTTTGGGGCCTGGCGCCTTTTGTGGGACGAGCTTTGGGGATGATTCGGGACTTGTAGAGCTTGATGCAAGACGTCTTCAGGCATAGGCACGTAGGCGTTTCTTGTAAAACATTGCGAGGACATCGGTTCTGAACGAGTCTCGTTTTCTGTCTGAAAAGCTCATAGGTTTTTGAGCGTTGAAGCCTAGCGCACGTCCGGCTCAGCAGGCCTTCTGGTATAGTAGTACCCGACCCTGCGTCATGGCTTCTGTTTTGGACAGTTCAGGCTGACTAGCTGGATTGCCGGCCTAACTGGGAAACGAACCGTTGAAGAATCAGACATGTCAGAAGCCTAGTCTGGTTTATCGACACGAGAATCCAAGCCACACGTGTCACACTTGAGCACTCAGTGTAGAGGCCAATGTAACGGGATTGGGTTGCGAGGGGCATTTTTACCAAGGAAAAGATTTCTACCCTATAAGCCCTAGACCGCTGTTTTCACGCCGGCTTTGCTTGAGACCTGGCCTGGATTGTCCGAGTTCTGAGAGGGTAAATGTACCCTAATTTATGATTGGTACGATACCCGCCATGTGAACCCTGAACGGCCCTAAACCCTACATCCCTGAACCCTGAGCGGCTCTAAACCCTAAAGCCCTGATTCCGCGGTCCGCGTCTCGATGGCCTGGGTTGTTTACATGTTGGAGCCTGGGCGCCCGGCCGTCCAGTGCCGAACAGGCATAACATAAAGGCCTCAAGACTTACCGACATGTACTTTGTTGGGTTTCCTTGTTATACGTGAAATAGAATACTAGCCAGGAGAAGCGAGAAGCCACGATAAAGGTACCTAACCCGTGCGGTATATAACCCGTACTTATAATCAGGAGCTCTTGTAGCAGTATAGTATCCCATAGAGCAGGATGGTTGTAACAGCTATCAGGGGGTTTCCGAAAATAGGGGACCCTAATATAGTACCCCAAATAATAGGATCCTTATTATAAGTACCCCCCAATAAGGTACCACGTATTTTCGGAAACCCCATCAGACGAAGACGTCATAAAAGGTATCAGATCTTCCGCATTAGCATCGACACCTTGCTGCTCATGTTCCTCTCGGTTGCCATCCAGGCAGCACCAATTGGTAGAGTTTTCTGTCTTCTGCAGTCGTAGCAGGTTTATTGGCTCGAGACATCTTTAGCCTTGAGTGCTTCATCTTGGGCTGTCTTCTTGCAGCGGGGGGGGTTCTCTGAAGCGGCCTCCACCTCTCCATGAAGTGTCTGTGAACAGCGGGCCGGATCTGACTGTTTACTCTGTGCTTCCTAGAGCTTCGCACTGACTCTGCACCCCGAATACAACTGTTAAAGTTTCGGATTAAGACAATCTACGAAGGATCGGCTCCTTTGCTGCATAAACCGCGGAATTGCGACACCTTGTCATACTGTCGTCAGCATCATCATACTCACCATGGTCATCATCATCGTCGTCGTCCCGACTGTTGCCATTTTTCAGTATTTGTCCTTGGCATTGTAGCTGGTGCCTGCTCTCTGTTTGTCGTGAACCCTTTTTTCAAGAGCAACGTGCTGAGGCCTCAACGCCACTAGAAACCTTAGTGAGCTTTCTGGATAAGGCTCACGCCTCCACAGGAAAGTTGAAAGTGACGATCCCGAAGTCCCGAATCCCGAGCCGGAGGGCGATCTATATTACCACTAAAGATCTTATCCCCCTCTTCGCCTGGACTCGTCCGACTCTGAGCGTCCAAAACCCCCCGAAAACAGATTCAGATGGAGGACTGGTTCACCGTGGGGACCCAGTATATAGCCCTACAAGCCCTAAGCCCTAGACCCTCGCCAAAAAGCAGGGCGGAGGACTGGTTCACCTTGGAGACCCAGTATATAACCCTAACCCCTAAAGTTTAGGTGCTAAGTAGGAGGCAACAAAAACCCTAAACTTTAACCAAATTCAAGAAGCAGGTGGAAGACTGGTTCACCTTGGGGACCCAGTACCTCCAATGTTGCATGAGCAAGGCCGTGCGGAAGCGCTACAGGTGGGGGGACCTGCAGATTTTCGGTCCCGGCTTCGGGCATCAGCCTTGAAACTCTATAAGGGTGATTACTAAAACTCTTGTTGTTATCATTACTAATCTTAGTCTTGTAGCTATTGTTGCTACTATTAGCCTCGAACCATAACCCCTTAAACCGTAAAGCCGGTACATTTACGCTTTGAGGGCTTTAGCTTGTGGATTTGATGTGCGCCCTGTCAAGGTGCTGAGTTTATGAGCTAGGGCTTGATTCTTCAGGCATGATGAGCGCTGTTTCATTGCGGGTCTGCAAGAGTCATAGGGTCTTCAGATCCCTATGCTGAAGGTTTTCCTCGGGAAGTATTTTCATGAAGAGCTTATAAGGGGCTTGTAGATGAAAGCTCGAGAATGTGGGTGCCCTAAACCCTGGTAACCTAAGTCCCGCATCCTAAACTCTAAACCCTTTTGTTGTCCCCTATAAGGGACCCTATAAATAGGTGCATCGGCATATTCGACCTCGCAGGCTGGAGAGAGACCTCCGACGCGCGCAGACCTTCTCGGACTATCAGAAGGCCCCATCCGGGACCTATAGGTAGGGTTTCGGGTTTAAGGTGTCAGGGGATGGTAGCCTTGTTGATAGAGGCCTGAATGGTCCTGAATGGCTGGTAAGCTTTCTGGCTACCATGGAGCGAGCTAGGAGGCCTTGGTTGTGTGCTGTTGCTGCTATGAGCCTCGAGCGTAGTCTTTGCTTTATGGACGCTTTTCCTGGCTTGTTTCCTTAAGCTGGGTTTGGGGTCCACCTCGCACGCTGAGATTTCTTTATGTTTAGAGTTTAGAGCCCTTGGGTCCAAAACCCAGGTCAAGGGCAGAGGTTGGACCATAGCCGTAGACTTCAACCCCTTGCGCTTGCGCGTTGATATGAGGAGCTTAAGGTTTGGGGTTTGGGGTTCAGGGTTAGGGTTTAGGTCTTAGCGTTTAGGTTTGTAGGCGGGATCTGCCTCCAAAGGCGTATAATAGGCTGCTAGCTGCGCATGCCAATACCCGCAGTCCTCAAGTTTTTCCAACTACCTCATAAAGTACAGAGTACATTGTACAGACATTGTACATGTGCATCTATGCGTGGATGTGTGCCAATATATGCAGATCTCTGTAAGTAAATATAAATAGACAAATACCTATATATATATATATATAGAGAGAGAGAGAGAGCGAGACAGAGAGTGAGACCTACGCACACATACATTCATGCATACATACCCACATCATACACTGCATTCATTCAGTCGTTTATTTGTTCGTTCATTCGTTCATTCATGCATTCATGCATCCATCATGCATTTCTAACTGAACTCATGCATGCATACAGGCACATCTACATGCATTCGTGTACTTATATGAACCCGTGGCATCTGGGCTTCTCGGGAAACTTGGCGATGACAGGCAGAAGCATCTCTGGAGCGATTTCGCAGTAAGCTCTCTGAGTCTTGGACTGCAAACGCCAACTTCGGGTTTGGAGTTGGGGGTTTTCCTAGGGAGGAGTCGTGTAATCGGCAAAAATTGCAGTCTTGGAGTTCTACAGGACTTATGGGCGTTGCTTCCGCGGTCATGGATGGAGTGCTACGATGTCGTTGCAAGTCGGCTTGTGGGTACGTGTGTGCAAGAGTGAGATGGCTGCATGCAAGATCTTGCATTTTCAATCCGCAAAGTGAGCCCGGGAGCTACCTATAGTCTCCATTGTAGGTCCTTTTTGGGGTTTCCTTATAGGATCCTAATCATAAAAATTGGTTAAACCAAAATAAGGAACTACAATGGAGACTATAGGTAGACCCTAGAAATGATGAGTCCCAATTGATACCCTAAGGCTCCATGTATCCATATAGTACATACTTAGGCCTTAGAGTACCTATATGGGGACCCTTTCAAGGACTAAGTACCCACTATAAAGGTACATGAAGCCTTTGGGATAAGAGTCCCAGGGTGAGACAGCGACCCTGTAGGACCCCAAACACAAAAGCCCGGAACCCTCGGCCCATAGACGCCTTAAGCCCCCATAGCCATCCCCCCTTAAACTGGTAAAGCCTAAGCCCTGAACCCTAAGCTCTGAACCGAATTCGTCGGAGCCCTTAGCAGCCTTACCCATAGGCCCCATAGTAGTTCCTTTCTGGGGTTCATATTTAGAATCCTATAAGGTAATCCCAAAAAGAAACTATGGGGCCTATGGGTAAAGCCCATAGCCATCCCCCTGAGGACGACAGCTGCGGCCGCCTCTGCCGGCGGCCCAGCACTGGCCGCCTTTCGAAGGGGTGCAGCTTTCTGGAGCATCTGGGGGCAGCTTGGCTTTCGAGTTTAGGGGTTTAGGGTTTAGGATGTAAGAGGGGCTTAGGATGGTAGGGCTGAAGGATTTGAGGGTTCCAAGGTTTAGGGCGAGGGTTTTGTTTTAAGGAGTGTAAGTTTCGAAGCCTTGCCGGGAGATTTGAATGCTTAGGCTGGGAGCTGGAGGTTGATTCGTTCGTCCGGCAGATGTTGGGGTTGGGTTTAGGGTTTAGGGTTTAGGGTTTAGGGTTTAGGGTTTAGGGCTGGTTCTGACCCTTGTAGGATTTGTTCAGGCATTTCAGGCAGCACCGGGCCTCGGACGACTTTTTATATCGGATTCATGGCGGGCGTGGTGTGCACTGTGTGTGATGATGGAAGGGGTCCTCTCTCTGTGTTTACAAGGAACCGTACGTACAATGTGGCCTTAGTAATCAGAATAGGGTTTGGGGGATCCCTCATTATAGCTATAGCCATTAAGGGCCCCTATAGTAGGCTCTAACAGAAGCCTTCTCGACAGGTGCTGAAGCAAGAGCTTGAGAAAGCCCTGGCCGCAGACACCTCTTCGAAACAAGATCTCTCGCTCATTGAGCCGTGCCACGGCTTCTCTAAGTGCGCCAAGATTTGCTAAGGCTATTTTGGGGTGTAAAGGTGTAGGGATCTTGGGATTCTTAGGATTTACAGTTTCCCGAAAATGTTCAAGGTTGTAGGTCCATTGTAGGTGTTGCCTGGTGATGAATGTTCAGTCAAGCTGACCCTAACCCTCTAGGCACCTACTATATAGGGTACTAGAGCCCCTATAACAGGGCCCTATATGGTAGGCTCCAGGTACCTACTATATAGGCTACTAGAGCCCCTGGGGCCCTATATAGTAGGTTCCTGGAGGGTTAGGGTGAATCTAAGGGCTTTACGAGGGACCCTTGATAGGGACCCTTGCAGGTTATTGGGGTTAATATGGAGACTACCTGGCTATAGGTACCTGGAGGGTTAGGGTGAATCCAATGGAGGCTTCTGGTGGATCAGCCCGGTGGCGTGGAGTGGAGCCGTGTGCCCAACTCGGAGGAGCGACTGCGCTGAATCTGTAATGTAGGGGCCTTAATAAGTAGAATAGTTTTTTTTTTTGGGGGGGGTTCCTTATTATGATTTATAGTATAATGCTATTTTGAGGGGCTTCTTAGTATACTTGTACTGTAATATATCCCCAAACCCTATTCTAACTATTTAGGCCCCTACATTAGAAGTCTTCGTCAAAAGGGTCATGCGACCGTGCAATCGCCAGCATAGCCAGGCCACAACGGGCTGCCAACATCAACGACATACCAGCGGTCATCATTATGCAACGACGCCGATTGTAGCAGCGGAAGTAAAGTCCCCGGAGTCATTCGCAGCAGCATGGCCGCTGCGAGCGCGAGAGCACCTTCCAATATCGCAGCCGAAGCAGCATCAGCAGCATCATCATCATCACCATCATCATCATCAGCATCATCATCATACTCTGCATCACAATCATCATCATGATCGTTTGTTGTCAAGGGCAGCTCCGACGCCAGCATCATGGTTGCCATCTTACTCCGATGGCCCCCAATCAAACGAGTCTACTCGAGGTCTTGATGTATCTATCCCTAGGGCTCCAGTTACCTAAATAATGGGTTACTGGGGTATATAATATATGGCTAGTAACCTACGATTTAGGTAACTGGAGCCCTAGGGTATCGTGTAGCCTAGACCCTGGCCGCCCCCCAGCTCCAAATCATGTCGACGTGAAACTGGACGCAAACAGGCGAAGACAAGACAACAAGAAGGATAGTGCCTACCGATGGCCTTACTAATAGCAATCAGAATCATAGCAAAGACTATTATTCTTTTTGTCGTTTTTATTACTATAGTGATGACCTTTGCCTGAGGTATTTGAAGAAACTTTGTCACTGCTTGGAGGTGGGCCGTTCGGTCAGCTATGTTGATTCCTGTGTTCCTTCACCCTCACACCCTCAAGTGTGATGTCCCCCATGGTTACGATTCACTACTTGCTATCCCTAAACCCTAAACCATAAAGCCCTATTTGACAGAGCTTAGGGGCTACTCGCAGGGCTTCAGGCTTCGATTGCCTGGTGTGTGAGCTTTGACATCAAGACTCCCGGGCCCGCGTTTGTGGTTTCGGGTTCGACCGGGGTATATGATAAGCATGAAGGTTGAGGCTTAGTGTTTCACCTAAACTATCCGTTCTCCGGGGTTTAGGGTTTATAAGTGCCTTACCTTGTGAATCAGCTGTGGAGAGCCGCAAAACCAGAAGGGTGAAAAGCCAAAGGATTCGCAGGGCCTGGGCTCTTGTACGCTCCCAGGCATAAGCCCCATGGTTAGCTGTAAGGACTTAGGGTGTAGGTTGGGTACTGCCCCCATACAGTAACAGTCTATAATAGGGCTACTATTAAGGGCCTAATATATCCATAGTATAAATATTATCCAACTGTTACTGAGTGGGGGCAGTACCCAAGGTGTAGGGAGTGTAGGGCTTGGGTGTAACGGAAGAGCCCCCAAAGGCGCCTTTCTGAATGATTTTTTATAGGGGTGTGGGGTCTCGTGCAGTACAGCTTTCGTGAGGAACCCTAAGGAGTGGCAAGAGTACTGAACTATCAGTCCCTTCTAGCAGGTCGACCTAGAAGCCCAAAGCCTAAACCCTAAACCTAAACCGTAAGCCGTAAATCCTCAAACCGGAACCTCCGAAAACCCAAGTCTTACAGGCGATGTGCGACAAGCGAGTGGCAGCTGGCGAAGCCTTTGGAGCGTCAGAGCTGAGGCAGTTGGGGGTCGGTTTTGGGGTTCAGGTTTTGGGCTTGAGAGCTTAGAGGGTTTGAGAGCTTATAGGGTTTCAGGTTTATAGGGCTTATAGGGTTTAGGGTTTAGGCTTGAGACTTTGTAGGGTTTAAGGCTTTGGGTCTAGGGTTCAACAGGGTCTGGTGTCAGAAGGGATGGGGGTTTCATGGTACTCGCGGATCTGCGAGTCATGCATGTGGTTGGATCTTGTGAGACACCGCCGAATATCCTGGCTATGAATCTTGGCCTCGGGCCTGTTACCTCATTGAACCTGGGTTGGATCCAAAGTACGGCGTGGAGTACATGCTGCATACTGGAAACGGGGTTTGAGGCGCCCCGGAGGTTGGGTTGTAACACATTAAAGGGCCTTGCAAAGCCCCCTGACCTCAAAACGCGGCTGGCCACAACCTAGACCCGAAGCCCTCTTTGTAGATCTCGAGAGTCGGCTGTATGGGTAAAATGATGGCCATTCGAATTGGCCGTATTGTTTTTTTGGTTAATGTGTTTCCTGACATTCTAACTGTGTTTTGATGTTTACTAGTACTCTCACATTGCGCCGGGAATCTAGAAGAATCAGCTGAAACGTAAATATTGGTCATCTTGCAATCTTGGGCAATCTTGGCCCAAAAGCAAGATTGCCAGCAATCTTGCAATCTTGGTCCATCTTGCAGTCTTGGTCAACTTGCCCCACTTGCTCGCCGA